AGACAGTAAACACATTTCCTGGACAGCTGGCAATTCAAATAAAAAGGATTATTGCTCAGAAGATTAAAATAATATATATCACAGATCAGCAAAGCCAAAATTATGGATTTGCATATTTGCTGGGACTTTCCCACTGAGAAAAGCAAAGTTGAAAGATAAAAAAGTCATTTATGCTTAAAATGACAAGGATAACCATTATTTGCTTTGGATTAAAAGTATCCAAATCCAATGTATTTATCATCTTGTTGAAAATGCAAGTGGTGTTTTACCTGTATAAAAAAATCTGATATTTTTACAGTTATATTTATGATCTTGAAATGTGTTATTTTCAATGTGGATCTAATGATGTTGTCTGTTGTGGCAGGTGACAGTCACTTTCCTCTACAGCTCTGTACCCACTTATTATAAAATACAATTTTTATATTAATAATGTAACAGCAATTTCTCTATCATTGATGTGAAATTTCTTTACTTTAAAAGAATAATAGCACCAGAAATGGAAGATCTGTGATATACAGCAGCTTTTTGGGTTTCTTTTTCTCTATTACAGTTACAGTCATGGCTGTTTCTTCATACTGAAAAAATATTTTTGATTATTTGTGAGGTAGGGAGGAATTTAAGTAGATAAGTAGGTTTTTTTTCTCTCATACATACACACAGAGCTTTTACTATATCTTACATTATAACACTTTAAATGTATAATATACACACTAAAGGAGTCAAAATTAATCATAATTAGATATATTTTCTATCCTGTCATATAGTAATTATGTAAACCCTTTCATCCTACTACACTAGCAGTCAATTGGGGGTATATATTGTGCAATATGTATACCACATATGTCTATGTTTAAATATCTTCAAATGTTTCATTGAGAAGTCACTAAATATAAAGCAATAAGTTGCAAATCTAGCCCCACTAAAGTCAATAGCAAAACTTCTATGGAGTATTATTATCAATCTGATACTAAAATACTTATAATACCATCTACTACTTAATAACTGCTCATTAACAGATCTCTTAATACCTTACCAAATGTTTGTATTATTATTATGATGCGCCTAAGGTCACCCAGCGAATCTGAGGCAAATTCCCAGTAACACATCCCATCTACTGCATCATATGATATCTCTGTTTATGGCTTTTTTACCAATGGAAATTCTCCATTATTATTTTAAAAATATTTAAGAGGTATAAAGCAAGCACACTTCACCTTGAGATTCTAGAGAGATAATTGCAACCGATACAAGGATTCGTGCTAATAGACAACATCATCATTCTGTTAATCTTATTGGAAAGTGAAAGGCATTAGGCCTATATTAAACAATAAAAAAGCATTTGCCATATTATACCATTGCCAATAATGAGAGCTGAAATGAAATATGGTTAGTCTGAAATAGAACTAATCTATATATTATCAAAGATGAAACATTATTAAACAGTTACATACATAAAACATACATATATATTAAATCAGAAGATTGGTTAATGAAGATTAATAGTAACTTCACATCAATATAAAAAGTATCAGCCACACCAGTAGATACTGTGTATGGTAGAAAGATTTCATTAATGAATAGCTGGTGATATAAAATACAAGCCTGAAAGGAAATGAAAAAGGAATTCCAATCAAGACTCCAAGAAATAATTTTCCTATTACAAAGAAATACAGCAAAGGACTCTAAATAAAACTACTTCCTTACATAGAAATTGAACGTTGTACTACTTAATTATCTTCCAAGCAAGATATAAACTTCAGAATATGTTTGCATAATCTTTCTACGTTACTTCATATAAAGTCTAATATTCTACTATGGTAATTTTCCCCATCCCAAACATCAGCTAGTGGTATACACTACTTTAAAATATCCTGTTTACTTCTACTATAAAGAGCTTAATTAAAATAAATAGATACTTAATATAGAAAAAATACTGTTCATTCTATAGCCTGATGATTTTTTCCCCATAGGTTGCTTTTTAGTAGTTATCCTTCTGTATACAAGTCTATTAAGAATGCCTAAAACAGAAGTTTACAAATAACAACTAACAACAACAGTGTGAAGTAAATAAGTCTTGTTATTTCTGTTGCACATATGGGAAGTTAATATAGGAAGATGAAATAGAGAAGAGGTCAGTGTCAGAGCTCAGTGCTTCCTATTCTTAGTCCCATGGCTGAACCACTGCATAAACTTCATCCCATGTTCAAAAACATAAACGCTTCAACCCTAATATTCTTTTAGTAAGACTCCTGTCTACTTTGCTAGCAACTAAAATAAACATTCTTCATAACCAAAAACATTTGATAGTCATATTTAGTTGACACCTTTAATATAAAAACAAGTTTGATCAGATTAGTTTAAAAATAATCCAACTACATTGAACTAAAATATCTATTTAAAGTAGATGAATGTTCAAGGATTATAGCTTACCGTAGAAGGGACAGTAGGGTAACACCTCCACATGTGCATTGTTGAGATCCAAATAATTAAAATGAAGTTTAACCTGAACAGACTACAAGGAAAACTCAAATTAGTTTAATTTTAAGGTAAGCTTAATATACATTCATATACGCCAATACAAACTTTCCAAGTGCAATATCTTTACCTGATCATTTTTTTCTGTCAGCACTTATGTGCAATTATGCAGTTTTATTGCCAAATTTCTCACATTTCCTATCAGTTCTTCCTTAGATGACCATTTTATACCAAGAGTTCAGGAGTGGAAATGTCATTAAATTCTATTTCAACGTGAGTGACTGTTCCTTGGTTGGCCTTTTATTCTTTTTAAAGGAGAAAATGGCAAGAACACATACTCAGCTGCCATTATAAAACTACCAATTGACTTCATTAAAAGTGCTGGCATTAAAATGTCCTTCAAGTGAGTTTACATCCAGCCACTATTATAATGGCACAAATGGTAAAAGGTCTCAAGAGTCCACAAGCATTTATTTGAACAAGAGCTTCATCAATTACTATGGCAGTCTTCTGCATGTGTATGCACACCTAGTAGCATGCAAAAAGTAGTCAAAATGTATTTTCAGCTCCCAGTACCCCAAATCAGATTATAATTCACGGGATCAGGAACAATAAATATTTCCAAGGACTTTTCTTATCTAGGCAAAAATCTATTTAATGTCTGTCATTAACTTTATTTTTGTTGTATTTGGTACATCAAGCTGCCTTATTCAGCACTTATTACCAAACTAAGGGGATAGATAATATTGATAACACTGTTGAAATTAACTGACTTTCTTACAGCTACAAAAAGCTGCTGGGGGCCAATCTCTTTCTCAGGGTATGTCTACACTACAGAGTTTTGTTGGAAAAACAACAAAAGACTTCACTGGATCTATTGGGTCTCTAGTTTGGCCGTGTCCAGACTCAGGGGTTTTTTCGGGAAAAGTAGCCTTTTCCCGAAAAAACTTCCCCTGCGTCCAGACTCAAGCCGCGTTCTTTCGAAATTATTTCGAAAGAACGCGGCTTTTCTTTCGATGGCGGTAAGCCTCGTTTCACGAGGAAGAACGCCTTCCTTCGAAAGTTCCTCTTTCGAAGGAAGGCGTTCTTCAATGTAAAGAGGCCGTCTTCGAAAGAGAGCATCCAGACTCGCTGGGTGCTCTCTTTCGAAAAAGCGGATTTCTCTTTCGAAAGATCCGCCTGCAGTCTAGACGCGATCTTTCGAAAGAGGCTCTTTCGAAAGATGCTTTCGAAAGAGGCTCTTTCGAAAGAAGCCTGCAGTCTAGACATAGCCTTTGAGACCTTTTGCTTTCTGTAATTGAAATCTGTATTTTTTCCTTGGATCATTCATTATAAACATTATATATAGGGGAAAGAAAGGCTTATGTGTGTAAAAAACAACCTCTCCCTCAAAACCTATGCTGGCACAATGAGTATATATACTAGATTCGCATAGAAAAAAATTAGGCCAGATTCTCTGAGTCATACAAAGGGAACAGAGGAAAAATCCTGGAAAACTGTGAACAGATGTCACCTGAAATAAAAGTTCTCGGCCTTACAGTGAGTCATAGATGTGACAAAGGCTTCTTGGCCATCATTACTACATGGGAATCCAGGAGCAGACAAGAATCCATAATTTGCAAACACACTTGAAAGCTGAGCACAGCCTTTCAAATGAAGCAGCAGATAGAAACCTGTGGTGTAGCACAGGTTTCTCTCTACTTGCCAGTTATTCCTCTATTTTGTCCAAATTAAATTTCATTGAAATTGCCTTTGTCTGGGCACGTAGAAGTGTCGAGGAGAGTGAATAATTCAGTTGATAACTGTAATAATAGCTCTCAAAGAAATTTACAAAGCAGATGTGTCATTATTCCCATTTTACAGTTTGCGAAACAGAGGCATAAAGAAATAAAGGCACTTACCTAGTGTCCCTGGCTAGCCAGGGGAGTTAGTTGCCTAGGCACTTTTGAAAAGCCTAAGATCCCTATCTGCATTTGCAGATGCTTAAATGCTTTTAAAAATCTGGCCTATGGAGTTATTTTGTATCCCTGATTGGGTTTGCATAATTCCTAGAGTCAGGTTTCTGATGAAACTATTCATATTTGCACATTTAAAATGAGATTGCTTTGCACATTCCCAAAATTCACTTCAAATGCACCGATTTCACTGGACTGTTTGAGAGAGACAACGCAAAAGATGGGTAATAGCTAACAAAGTTGCATTCAATTTCTTTGAATGATACATGTAGGGATATCCCTCCTTAGTTATTCAGTTGGTTTTACTCATATGGGCACCAATGGCAATGTGGCTCAAAATGTAGTTCTCACACACAATTGAAAATGTGATTGGAGAGGGTGACTGAATGAGAGCCTGGGGAGAGGCATGGGGACAAAAAAACAGTTAAGAATTATGGTGAGATTGATTCAACCTACAATCCATCAGAGCTGCAACATCATAAAGTTTACTGCAGTGGCCCTTTCAGACAAGGCCTGAAAACTTGCAATGACATTAAACATCCTGAGCATTTGTACTCTACGGAGTTTGCAAACAATACGGTCCCTATATGTGGGAAAGCGTCTGGGGAGGAGGGGGCAGAGGGGGTAGGGGAGGAGGGAGAGGGCATAGAGATGAGAATTCTGGATCCTGGACAGGCTGGAAAGATAGGACCCAGAGACGAACATATTTACAAATGAAGGAACTTTGTTACAGAGAAGTTGAGTGATTTTCAGTGTCCTGGACTGAAAATTTCCCCTCCCTTCCCTGTCATGAATTGTAGTACGCCTGATTACCCACTCAACTACTGCCCTCTATGGCAAGCCCTCCTGCAGTCTAGTGGTCTAAAGAGATGTTTGTAATTACTGGTCACAAAATGCCTAACATAACATCCTGCTGTGTAAACTACTTTGGGATCCTTCAGGACTAACATGGTGTAACCCAGTGCAGCTCTGGGAGGGGCTCCTCCCCTTCTGGGTCAATGGGTGGTCACTCTGACCCACTATATGGCTGCTTAATTTCTTTGGGGAATCTGCTGGGCTGGCCATTGGCCTTAATTCAGTCCGCAGTCACAGACAACTGGCTCAGGCCCTGGTTCTAGGTGAGGCAACAAACAACAGGCCCTGGTTCAGGACAGGCTGGCAATAACAGTTCTCAGGCCCAGGCCCTGGTTCAGGATGGGACAGCAATAAACAGGTCTTAGTCCCAGGCTCTGGTTCAGAGCAAGGCAGCAAACACAGTGACAAGTCCAACTGGAAACAAAAACAGTCGGATCCCCTTGCTCAGGCGGGGATCCAGCAAATGCAGGCTGTCGTTCTGGAACATCCAAGGGGGGAGACTGTCACCCTGAGAAGAGGTTGCAGGAGGGGATGCAGGCCTTCCCACTCCACTGTGACCTAGCCCAGGACCTTACAGCAGCAGAGCAGTCTGCTGCTGGGTTAGCAGGGATCCTCACTGCAACACGCTGACCCTGGATCAGGCCAGCTACTGGTGGCTATCCCTGGGCTACTTCCACTTCTCCCCCATAGCCCATACCTGGCTCCCGTGCAGGTCTGCTATGCTCTCCAGAGCTGGAACCTCTGGCCAGGTAAGCAGTTCCACCCAGCCATAGACTGGGCCAGTCCTCAGCTTCCCTCAGGTCCAGCGCCCCACATGGGAGTGTAGGGGAGGCCTCTGGTTCCTCTGGTGGCTGGAGGCTGACTGGCCTTTCAGGCTGGTCTTTATAGTCCTAGTTCTGCCTCCTGACTTCCAGTCAGGTGGTGCGCTGGGGCCAGCGCTGCCCACTGGGGCTCTGAGAGGGGCTCCTCCCCCTCTGTATCAGTGGGTGGCCTCTCTGACCCACAACATGGGGCGATGGGAATATTTAATGAAATTAACCTGATTTCAAAGCAGTAGCAATCCCCTCAGTTAAAAAGAGTGTTACATGAGCATTTGACTGCTTACATATTCAGAACTTACAGTATTATTCCTGGAGGAAATCCTTTCATTTTAATTGAACATCAAGTTCCAACAGGTACAGCATGCCCAACTCCACTAGATAACAAGATTTAGCTGGATATTTCTGTTACAGTCAAAAATCAGGTTAGTTTGGTTCTGCTTGAGTGAAATGTAGCATCCGTTTTCATCTTGTCCATACCGGTTAGCCCAATTTCAATGCACATTAACCTTCACAGCCTATTGTGTGGAGAAATAAGATGGAAGGATGGGATTGTGAGCTCACCTGTCTTCTGACTGCTTAACCACCTATGTCTATTTCTGCATATGAACACAGTGACATTTGTTATTGTTTTACTCTCTCACTGCCTTCTTTCTCACTCAGGAAGCTAAATTGCCAAATGGCTACTAAAGATCTTTTGTACAATGAAAGTGAGATGGGGCAAAGATTCTTGCAACATCATTATTCACAAATATTGCAGAACACAAAACTCAGCACCCTTTGGCTTGAAAAACTAACCAACCAACCAACCAAAAAACAAACAAAAATTGTTTTTGGAAACCAGCAATATCTGGCCTCAAACGAGAACAGATTGAAGTTAGGAGTCTGAGTGCTAACATGTCTCATGCTCATGTTAATAAATGTTCACATTCAGGATATGTCTAGACTGCAAAGAAAAGTCAGAAAAAGATACGCAAATTGCAGTTTGCAATTTGTGAACCTTTTCGAAAAAGATACGCAAATTTCAGTTTGCAATTTGTGAACCTTTTTCCGCTTTTTTTCCCCAGAAGAGGCTCTTTCAGAACATTCCTGAATACAGGGATGCTGAAAGAATGCATCCACTTTTTCAGAAACTGTTCCGAAAAAGAGGACACATTCCTTGGAAAAACTCTGCAGTGTCGAATTAGCCTCTGACAACATCAAATTGTTTTCCTTGCCTTTTCAAAGAGGTAGCCATGTTAGTCTGTTTCAGCAAAAACAAGGAATCTAGTGGTACTTTAAATTTATTAAGGTATTAGGACATAAGCGTCTATGAACTCACTTCCTCAGAGGCTGAAGAGGGGGAAAAAAAAGGATAGAGAGAAGGCAGTGGGACATCAGTGCTAATTAAATCTTCAACAGTGAGGAGGAGAGTACCCGATTGAGAGAACCACTCAATGTGCCTATTTAAACCTTGGTTTAGGGTGTCAGATTTTAATTCCAGCTCAGCAGTTTCCTGTTGCAGTCTATTTTTGGCAGGGGTTTTGCCTGAGAATGGCAGCTTGCACATCCCAAAATGTGTATCCAGAGAGGTTGAAGTGCTCCCCACAGGTTTTTATATGTTGCCATTCTTAATGTCTGATTTGTGCCCATTTATTCTTTTACATAGAGATGTACATGGCAGAGGAGCATTGTTGGCCCGTGATGAGATATATCACATTAGTACATGGGTGGCAAGAATCCTAGGTAGGGGAAGGCACTGCCTTCCCAAACTGCCTCACCTGGTCCTGCCCATGCCCAACCTTGTGCCATGCCTCCTGACCAACTCTCCAGAGCCATGGTAGACTGGAGCCATGCTGCCTGCTGGATCTCTGAAGCACTGGGGCTGGGACCGTGCCACCCATGGTTTCCCCAGAGCTACAGGGCCAGCAGAGACTGTGGCTGCATTGCCTTCTGGCTCTCCAGAGCTCCAGGGCTGGGGGAAGCTGGGGAGCCATACTGCCCACTGGCTCCCCAGACCTTTGTGGCTGGAGCCACGCCACCTGCTGGCTCTCTGGAGCTCCGGGGGTAGAGGAGATTGGGAAGATGCTACCCTAGGGCAGGAGTCACATTGGGAAAATGGGAGGAGCAGGATGGGCAGGGACCAACAGGCCACAGTGGGGTGGGGAGCATGTGCTCTGGTGGGTGGAACCAGGGGGGCTTGTCTCCCCAAGCCATGGGGTCACCCACTGCACATGCATTCGAAGACGTGCACACGAATGAGCATTTGATGATATAGCTGATGCAATTAGATCCTGTGATGGTGTCACTAGGGTACATGTGTGGACACAGCTGACAACAAGGCTTATTTCAGTTGTTACTTCTAATTTATGTCAGTGTCACTGAAACCAATACCTGGTCCAAGGAACTTGTACAGCTCTGATTCAGCACAGAAACTTTTGGATGCTGATCTAAATAGAATCCATATTCTTGAACTTTGCGATTTGTGCCTATGTTTGTATGTATTTTTCATGTTCTGAATATGTAGGGGCAGTTCATCACTTTGTGCACATTCAAATTTTTCCATTTATATTGTACGTCAGTAGCCAGTTTTAATTGTACAATAGTTCGTGTACACTCATGTTTATATCTGAGCAAACTTAGGATATTGCAACACAAGAACACAATTTCAACTCAATAATAATAGTTGGCAACATACTGTTTCTCTTATCCACTCCTTATATTATGTAAATGCTACAGTTAAAAAACCCACCTGTATTCCAGGTATGTAAAGGAAAATAAAAAGTACTCACATACACATACAAATACTCAGAACCACTGACTCATCAGTAACTCTAATCCTGCCCTTGAGAAAAGCAAGAGGATGTTATATCATTATTGATTTTGTCAATATATTCCAATGAATCTCAGCTACCTAATGGAAGGAGGCTGAGAATAAAATTTTTCAAGAGCATAAATGATTTTGAAATAGGTTAAGTATCTTTACTTCAATGGGAGGTACACTTTCAAAAATCTAAAGGCATAAACTTAATGTGACCTTAAATCCCTTTTAAAAATGGGAATTTGGCTCCTCTGTCACTTAGGCACTTTTGAAAATGTTACTTTTTATCCTGGGTCTGAAAATCTTAAGGTCACATAATTAAAGTCATGTTAAGGGGACATTGATACATGCTGGGAATTTTTGTTTTATTAATTATTTGTGTTTCAGTAGCATCTGGAAGCCTAAACTTAGATCAGGGCCTCATTGTGCCAGGTCCTGTATGGAGTAATAAACAATCCTTACTCTGAAGATCTTACTGGCTTGAGAGCTGGACTTGGATGTACACTGTAAGGCTTTCTCAGGGTTGTACCAATTATAAACTGAGAGGCTGTGTCTAGACTGTCATGATTTTCCGCAAATGCTTTTAACAGAAAAGTTTTCCATTAAAAGTATTTGAGGAAAAGAGTGTCTAGATTGGCACGGATGCTTTTCCGCAAAAGCACTTTTTGCGGAAAAGTGTCCGTGCCAATCTAGATGCGCTTTTCCATAAAAAAGCCCCGATTGCCATTTTTGCGATCGGGGCTTTTCTGTGGAAAACAAATCTGAGCTGTCTACACTGGCCCTGTTGTGCTAAAGTTTTGCACAAAAGGGACTTTTGCCCAAATGGGAGCAGCATAGTATTTCCGCAAGAAGCACTGATTTCAGACAGTAAGAAGTCAGTGTTCTTGTGGAAATTCAAGTGGCCAGTGTAGACAGATGACAAGTTTTTCCACAAAAGCAGCTGATTTTGAGGAAAAACTTGCCAGTCTAGATGCAGCCAGATTGTTTTAGTTATTGGGAACTGATGAAAAATCTGGTAGGGGACTCCAAGTATTTTCTGTGGATTGAAAAGTTATAAAAACTATGGATTACTTTGAGGCAGATGGTTCACCCTGGCTCTGAATGTGAACCTTTCTCTTTTCCTGGAACTGAACATGATCATGCCTCTTTTTTCTGCCTCTCTTTATTTTCATTCTCTCAGTTATACTTTTAAGTGGCTTGATAACTGTCTGCATAACTTTATGCCACAATTTCTTGGATATCAATGACGGACAGCCTACGCTGTGGGTGTACCTCAAGAATGGCTCTCCTTCAGCTCAGCAAGGCACAAGATTGTCGTAAGCAAGAGAATCTCCTGGGATAGGGTAGTTTTGCTTACAGTGCTTACATACCTAGAATTTGCAGGGTGTGCCAATTGAACTGTAGCAGCACTCTGATTGGCTGCAGAGGCCGTGCATGGCTCTCAAGATGTTGTGTGCAATCAGCATGCACCTCTCTTCAGATGCCCTTGCTTTAAGTGAGTGTCACTTTTGTAGCACTGTCAGGAAAAGAACTATGCAGATGAAAACCAGCAAAATCTGGGAATCCTATGGGCCACATGCAAATCTTCACTGAGCTTCATGCAGCCCTGGGGCTGCAGATTGCCCACCATTGTCCTAGATTATCTTGGACACAGAGCAAGTCAGCTTCTCTGACGTTGCCATCACTGCTCTCTGGCCTTGGGAACAGGCCAAGCACATTACTGGATTCATCTCCTAATCCAGCCTGACTTGAGATGGACCAAGGAACCCTGCTCATCCAATATGAAAGTCATTTTATGTACCTATAATGACAACAACAAAAACCTTCCCTATCTAATTGTCAAAGGAGCATTCTTTTGAATTCCTTTGGTTCTTTTGTGTGGGTTTGTCTAGATTTGGTCTGGGACAATTGATTTAACAGAACTTTTAACTAAGTCTATGACTTTTACTATAATATCTCAGTTAATATTTCCCCCGTTTCCCAATCATACTGGTAAATTAAAACATTACAACTGGTTTTGTAACTTGTACACCAATGTTTTTAATATAAACATTTTGAACATCCAGTACAACTGTTGAGGAATAAAACTAGAAATTGTCAAACACCTCTGTCGCACTCTGTGTAGTCCACAAAATGAACACCCATCAAATCAATAAACCATGGAACTTTGATGGCCTGTGTAGGGGAAAATAAAAAACCAATGTTTCCCCCCTCAAGGGTAGAATTGTTTTGCTCCTTGCTGTACAGTGACAACTGCATTAGAAACTTTGCCTGCTTGCTTTTAGGCATTTGGTAATCAGGAAACTGAAGAGGCAGGATTGTTTGCTTTAACCTCATAGCATAGTGCATAACAGAAACTAATCAAACTATTGCCGGTTGCAATTCTGATACCGACTCAGTGATGATGGAAATCCCAGGAAGAGACAAAGGCAGAAGAAAAACAGAATTGAGAAGGCATCAGTGGGTTTATTCCTCCCACCTGAGATTACTGAAGATTTGCTCAGCTTTTGCTATTAGCAGAGCCTGTCAACTAAGCGAGACAGACAATAAGGCAGATCTTTGCCAGAGTGTCACACAGGGGCTAGACAGTTACCAT